AATATACTAATATTTAATTAAGCTCTATTTATATTACTTTTTTTAAAAATGAAATACTAATCTAACAAACAATAAAATATAGAAGAATAAACAAACACATGTTTGAAAAACATGTATAATATAAAAAATTTGAAACAATCTATTTGATTAAAACATGTATTATATAATATTATTATGTTCGAAAAAAATTTACTATACATATCGTAAATATGTGAATAATATAATATATACCAATTTACAAGTGAAAACAAAAAATTTATATAACAAGTTATAAACGAAAACAAACACATGCGGTTAGGCGGATAAAATCTAGTAACTCTTAAAATTTATACATATGACGCGAACTTCATACTGTCCATTGGACTTAAAATTTATACATATGGACATTGGACTTAACACATAACAGACCATTCATTTTATCACTATAAATAAATACACATATGTATATATATCTTTCTCATTTATAATAAGAAGAGGAATAGATGGAAAATCAAAATGGTCAGTACTATATAGGCCACAATTAGTTAGTGCCAATAATGTTCTATATTGTGCGTACCTATACAAACTCCTCTTTTTTTGCAATATGCTTTGTCCCAATCTCTTTTCAAGTAAAGGAGTAAGAAACAAAATAAAAAGAGAGAGAAAGTATTGTATAAGTTTCTACATGCAGGGTATTACTATAATGTCTTTTTCATAATATTGAATGGATCCCATAAGAAAACAAAGTCTAGATAAAAAGTAGTTGATGAGTTACATGATATTTTCCTCTTGAGTTGGAAGAAACGTATATGGAATGAATTCTACGAAAATAGGGAGAATACATATGTATTGTTCTTGAAAAAGGAAGTTTATTTTCTAACTTAAAGAATAAGTTTAATTATAGTATTATAGAAATACAGTTCCTTTTTAGATTAGACACAAAAAAATAAAAAATATTTCTTGTACTCATATGTATCTAGGCGTGTGCACGACACCCACCCAAATGTATGGCCTAAAGCTTTAGGGTAAACGACCTATTTCCCCACCATAACTATCGTATAGTAACATATCCACACGAACTTTTCACCTCGTCCCAATTACACACAACTAAAGTTTGTAAACCTATTTCCCCCCCAAAATAAAAGATCGAGACTCGATTCCCCCCAGACGAACTAATACCAACAAAAACTGGTTTAAAATAGGTTTAATGTTCTTTGTTTTAAAAGTAAACCAATGATGTACCTAAATGACCGGATTACAACCCGATTAGAATAGTAAACCGGATTTCTCATTCAATAAGTCAAAATTTAAAACCCTAATCCCCAATCCTAAAATCTTTGTCTCTTCCTCACGACCCTGGTGAGTGACGACAAAAGATTGAAGTGAAGAGAATCATTACTCTTCTAACCCAGGTATTTTCGAAACCTCTTTCTCTCTCTCTCCCTCTCTTTCTCTCTGTATGTATGTCGTTGTTGATTTGGTCCCTGTAATTTTTTTTCAGAAATAGAAGGAAAATGGAAGATTCATTGTCTCAGGTTGTGTTGGAAAGGGAAATGGATGAGAGGTTTTGGATTTTTCGATCTAGGGTTTGAATGAGATATGAAATCAATTTGGGGATTTTTTTTAAACTCTTATTAGGTGTTTCGGTCGGGTATATAATTGGATAGGAGGGTTGAGTCGGGTTTTAAAATTGGTTCAGATTTTGATTAACTGTGGTTTAGGTTTTAAACCACTACATCCAACTCAAATATTCGTCTGGGGGGAGTCGAGTCTCGATCTTTTATTCTGGGGGGAAATAGGTTTACAAACTTTATTTTTGTGCAATTGGGACGAGGTGAAAAGTTCGTGTGGATCTATTACTATATGATAGTTATGGTGTGGAAATAGGTCGTTTACCCAAAGCTTTATAAATATAGTTCAACACACAAAGCATATAACCATAGTTCTCTCTCACACAAAAAACAACATAACCTTACTTCTTTTTTCTCTTTATCAACACGCATACATACAAAACCATAAGCTTAAATATTCTCGCTCGATGACTGGTGGAGAGAAAAGAAGAGGACTTAGCAAATCTTGTGCCCTTCTCATAGTGATTGCCGGGATAGAAAGATATGCATTCAAAGGAGTTGCATCAAACTTGGTGACTTATTTAACTGATGTGGTAAAGATGAGCAATTCAAGAGCAGCCACGACTGTTAACACTTGGAGTGGCTTCACTTACATGTTGCCTCTCTTCTCTGCTCCTTTCGCCGATACTTACTGGGACAGATTCTTCACCATCCTAGCTTCTTCTTCTCTCTACTTTGTGGTCAGTATCACTATATACCACCCTTTTATTAGAATCAACAGCCAGAAAGAGTCAATTCAAGACTTGTTTACTCAATTATATTTTACATATTGAAACATGTTCGTATGATTTCTTTACCAAGTGGTCCCTTTCTTTTTTTTTCATTACATTAATGTCTCCTTTTTTCGTTTATTTCTCTTGATAATTTTGCATCACGTCGTTTAAAGAGAGCAATTGACCAAAAAAAAAACCACATCAGCAAAATTTTCTACAAATTAGATTTGAAAGTATTTTTGATCAAAAGAAGAACTGAAAATTGTTTCTCGAATTTTTTTGTTACGATGTGTTATTGATCACGTGACCCTCTTCTCTGCGTATTCTTATGAGGTATATTTGCTTGACAACTGGAACTTTAAGGAATTGATACGAAACGTTTCTTAAGATTTTTATTTTTGTTTGTGGTTTGGTACTAAAAGCATTGGAACATTTCGATGGATTTCCTAAGAAAATGCCTTTCTCACTAAATGTTTCCTAATTAATCTTCATTTTTAGAGTATGGGATGTTACCAATTAAGCAGATACTGTTGGTAAAATTTGGTTCCATGATGTGATTTTTGGAATCTTATCAAAAATAGTAAAGCCTAGTGTACATTCAACTATGATAAATTACTAATGGAACTCGAATCATTCCTCACTAATCATGCATTATATTCCATTACTAGATCTTACAGCACTAATATTTAGGATAAGTAAAGAAAGAAATGAACCCATTAATGTGTAAGTTTTAACCTAATTTTTCTGCATAGGAAAAAAATAGTGCCTCATTGCCTTGTAAGCTGAACTTTTGACTTAGGAACTCGTTCAGCTTTTTATTAAAAACTTAATTAAAATTATTTTTATGGATATTATTTATTAACTTCCTTATTTTAGGATTAAATATTTCTGACTATTATCATTTTAATTCATTTAAGAGATTCTATTTTTTTTGCTAATATTGGCATTTTGTTGGGGTATATCTAAACAGGGACTAGTGGGATTGACATTTACGGCATTTGCTGGGTCACGTTCCACTACTAAAACCATATCTCTTTACTTCCTCTACACTTCACTTAGCCTCGTCGCTCTCGGCCTAGGTGTCTTAAACCCATCTCTACAAGCGTTTGGTGCTGACCAGCTTGACCACGACCTTGACCATGACCATAACCAAGAGCCATCCTCAGAGAACAAAGAAGTCAAATCGGACCACAAGTCTAAGTTTTTCCAGTGGTGGTACTTTGGTGTCTGCGCCGGTAGTCTTTTAGGAGTCACCGTCATGGCTTATATCCAAGACACATTTGGTTGGGTTATCGGTTTTGCAATCCCAACCGGTTCAATGTTATTATTGATCTTCTTGTTCCTATGTGGCTGTGGAGTTTATGTCTATGCTGATGCGGGTTCAGACCAAAAACCTAAACCATTTCAAAAGATCTTAGATACTATTAAAGGAGCAGTGACGAGAAGAAGCAAGATTACTCTTGAGAACAACCAGGATTTAAATGCCGCGGAGGTAGAGTAAGTACTTATCATTATTCAGTCCATAATAGTTAGTACACACACAACTTTGATGTGCCTAGTTCCCGGTTTGGTTTAGTTTTGCCGGTTTATGAAATATTGAACCTGAATGAGAACCAAATTAATTGCTGAGGTTTTGGTTTTGGTTTAGAACCGATTTTCTAGCAATATTTTAATGTGATTTTAAAATTATTAAAAAAATTTGTCGGTTGATTTTATAGTACAGTTGGATTCTGGTTACGGTTTGTTGGAGAACATATACTCTATATATATATTATTCGGTTTATTTTCTTTCCTGTTTGGTTTATAGAATGGTTAACTCACAGTGAACACCCGTATTAAATCTCCTCTTATTTTGTTGTATATATAGGCTTCAAGGGAAGCCTCTATGTAACTGTAGCAACACTGAATCTACTAGTACTACTACTACAAAGAGCATAGCTGATGATGAAAGCTGCAAAACCGGTTTCTCCAGCCTCCAAACCGTTAAGCTATTACTTCGGCTATTACCCATATGGACAATGCTTCTAATGTTCGCAGTCATATTCCAACAACCAGCAACATTTTTCACAAAGCAAGGTATGGCTATGAAGAGAAACATCGGACCAAACTTCAAAATCCCACCCGCAACGCTACAAAGCACAATCACCTTGTCTATAATCCTCCTCATGCCCTTATACGACAAAGTATTGATCCCTATGGCCAAGAAAATATCGAAAAACGAAAAGGGTATTACCGTCATGACAAGAATGGGAATAGGAATGTTCCTATCAATCATTGCCATTGTTATAGCCGCGTTAGTTGAAAGAAAAAGACTAAAGATAAGTATAGAGATGAAGACTTCACCAAATAATACAGATCCTTTGAGCATATTCTGGCTCTTACCTCAGTACATTCTCCTAGGAATCTCGGACATTTTCACTGTTGTAGGGATGCAAGAGTTTTTCTACAGCGAGGTTCCGGTTAGAATGAGAACAATGGGGTTTGCTTTGTACACGAGTGTTTTTGGGGTCGGGAGTTTCGTGAGTGCTGCGTTGATTTCGGTAATTGAGAGTTACACGAAGTCATCAAGAGGTGGGAAACATAACTGGTTTGCGGATGATATGTCGGAAGCTAGACTTGATAACTATTATTGGCTTTTGGCTCTCACTAGTGCTATTAGCTTTTTGATGTATATTGTTATTTGCAAGTATTTTAAGAGTAGAGGTGATGATTATGATGATGGTGATGATAAATCCGATGAGAGTTGTTAATAAACTAAAAAAACAGTTATTGTTAGCTGTTTGGTAACGCTATGTGAGTTGCATGTAATGAATGTCAAGTGTTCACAAAAAAAAGTTCATAAAATATATGGAGAACTTATTCATACATAGTTTAAACGTAGCATTCAAGATTACAAAATATATATATATGAAAATTAAAAATAAAAATCACAAATATAAGAACTTTTAAGAGTACAGAAACAAAAGAAATTTTTGGAAACAAAAAGACAACAATAGCTGCAATGTAAGGCCAGTGGTCCTTCACTTGTTTGGGGCTTTGGTCTGGCAAGTCAACCACTCGAGTTCGACGCAGGCTTACCTAAACATATGAGTTTAAAAGGTTCAGTGTTCGCACATCGTTAAAAAAAAAATAGAAAGTATAAAGTTTAATTATTTACTGACCATAACTCTTATACTCCCTAGTGTTCATAAACTCGGTGAACTTTGAAGGTGAAGAGCTAAACCCATCTCTTGTTCTTTTAATCTCTTTGTACTCTTTCCACCACGTCATGAAACTGCTTCTCTCCATGAAAATCTCCGGAGAAACCTCACGTTTTCCTATGATCTCCCACACGTACTCCTCAAACTTCACGAGTTTTCCGACCAATCCCTCTTTTGGTTGTGTTTTCAGCTCATTGATAGCAATCAAAGCGTCCTCAACTTCAGACCAAAAGCAAGAATCAAACGTTAATAGCTCACTCAAATCCGTGCCCTTACCTCTAAGCGGTTCTTTAGACTTCTCCTGCTGCTCAAACCATTTCTCTAGCATAACATAGTGGTGAGGCCTTCCCTTAGTTCTATACTCTTTCTTACCCTCTAGGTAATATTTAGCAATGTCTAACGGTTCCATTAACCTTCTATAGTTGTTTGCGGAGAGGAGACAACGTTTCTTGAGATAAGATGCTTCACCCTGAGGCATCTTCTCTACTTCTTGAACCATTGTTTCCCAGTAATCATTCATCTCTCTCCTGAGATGCTCATAAGGAAAAACTGGTTCGTTCTTGAACCGGTCGTAGTAAACGATCTTGTGATCCTTCTTGCTCAACTTCTTGTACCACTCCATATGAGCCATTGATATCTTTACTTCAGCTAGTTTCTTAAGCTGATCAAAACGCTGCTTCTTTTCTGCAGCACGGTTCTTCATACCATTGATGATAACGTCACCAATCATCAGTCTTGCATCCACCATTGAAGATCTATCAAGACTCTTTAGAACTTCTCCGTAGTCTCTCTTGCCTTCTAAATCTGTATTACCACCGAGTAGCAATTCTATGATGGCCTTAGGGTCATCGATGCAAACACATGAAGATTCCTTACAGATCAAGTATGTTCCAAAAGGCTCGGAACCTGTTGTTATGATGGGAGTTTGTGTAGTATCAGCCACGTGAAGGAAACATGAGTTCCTCACGGAGTTCTCTAGAATCTGTTGGAGATTAGCGTCTCCGATAAAGGGAGAGCCAAACGTGATGCACAAGGGACGTTTTAGGTCTGGCTTGATGGATTCTAGAAGCCATAGTGTGAACAGAGATGCTAGGGAGCCTCCTAAAGCAGCTCCGGTGATGATCACAGGTTTCTTGAATTCAAGCAAATGGAGCAACTGCAAACACAAATATTAAATTTGTAAGAATCACATAGTTTGTTGACTTGAAAACCCATAACTAAACAGAGTATTAGCTAGTGACTTGTATCACAAGGCAGATATGTTTAAGCAGACACACTAACTTTCTAAGATTTTAAATTTGTCTTCACCTTAGATTAGTTTTCTTAGACTTTAGCAGCTACAAACACACACAAATAGCAACTGACTTGTATTACAAGGCACAGTAATTTTTAAAGACTTAAAATCTGTCTTCACCTAATATCAGTTTCTTAAAACTTTTTTTTTGAAAGTGGACAATTCTAAACAAAATTAAAGAGAGTGGCTGATCTTAAATTACCTCTGTTTTGAGGTCAGTGAGACTCCTATTCTTAGCCACAGTAGAGGCAAAAAGCTTAAGAGCATGTGTATGAAGAGAGAAGGAAGGGGTCTTCTCAGAGCAGAGGAAGCTAAACATGTTAGCATATTCTGACTTAACATCAGGAACAAGAGTAGAACCAGAGTTTAAAAAGGCATCTGTGCCAACCGGTGGTGTAGAGAAAACCACAAAAACGAATGTGGCTTCACGGTAAACCTTGAATTCTACAGCTGAATCATTAGATTGTTGCACTGACTCATTTATGTCCGAGATCTTACTCCATGATCTTTCTAAGAGACCGGAGCTCAACACAAGTTTCCCAACCTCGGTACAGTTACTATAACCAGGACAAGAACTTTAGTCAGTGTCCACATAACAAGAAGTTGTGCAAAAACTAAACCAAAAATAGGAGAAAGTAATTGTAATACTTACAGTGAATAAGAATCCATGGCAAAAGTCTAGAAATGATATGGGGAAGAAAGTTCAAAGAGACAAGTTATCGAAAGCAGACAATGTTTATCTCGATGTCTGAAAATGAGAGTCCATTTGAAAATACTTATAAGCATGGAAGGTGGTAAGTACAAGAGAAAAACGTAATTTTAAAGTCAAGTAGTTAAAAAGTCAAATACATAGTTAATTGTTATTGTTGGTTACTACTATCGCTTGTCCATGAAGAAATTGCAACAAGACTTGTTCATCTTGCGTTACGATAGTTATTGATTCACACAAGTGTAGCATTACAATAAGTGCCAACTCTCTCAGCCATGCGTGTATTTTAAACCACTTGATGATCATACCCAATACCGATCTTGAGATTTTGGAGGCCCCATACAAAATTACAAAAAAAAATCATAATGTATATCAAATAATTATATAATAAATGATTTAATATAATATTTATAGATTTTTAAGAAAATAACCACTTTAAATATTATATATATATATATATATATCTTGATGTTAAGTAATTTTATTTGTTTGTTTTTCTTACATATTTTGTTTACTCTAATGTATAAATATTTTTAATAAAATGTAAAACAAATTGAAAAATACAAAATAAAATTGATTTTCTTTTTGGAGAAACCAAAAAGATTTAAATTTTTGGAGAAGGTGAAAGGTAAATTATACAGATTGGAGAAATCAAAAGAGTTTAAATTTTCGGAGAAGGTGAAAGGTAAATTATACATATTGAAGAAAAGATTTACAAGAAATCTTTAGCATGGTGTAAGGCCTACCATCAGAAAAAGATTTCATAAAACAGTTTAAAATGATGCAGTCAAACGTGAATCCGCATAAAATAAATAAAATTATGATATATTATCATCTATGTAATATTTCTTATAATTTATAATGAATAATTAACCAGTGTTAAAAGAAAAACAATTAAACAACTGGCACTTGTATGTGATGTGGTTTGTAGCGTATCATTTCATATACAATTTCTAGAAAATGGAAAATGAGTTGGATGATTTATAGTCTTTCAGTATAGTCTTTTTCTATTTACGAACTTGTATATGAAGTTTAATTTTATGCATTTTCCCCGATGTTTTTGTTAAATATTTTCTTTTCCAATTTTGAAATTAAATAAATGTTTGCTTAACAATCTATATATAATAGCAAACTGAAAGTGACATCAGCATTTTTTTATAGGAAAAAAAACATTCAATCTAATGGTCATAGTTAACTTGATTTTAAGATCTAATGGACCAAAAAAAATCTTTTCATATGATTGATGATGTCATCAAATATTTGACACCTCTTCATTGAAAATACATATATTTCATTTTAATAGCCACAATCATATTTGTCATACATTTTCATAAGTTTAAATATTAATATTGACTTTTTAGAAGATAATATTTGTATGTGTCGTGATCGAAGAGGTATGAACGTATCGTGATTCAAGAGGTACGAACATGTCGTGACCCAAGAGGTACAAATGTGTCGTGACCCAAGAGGTACAAATGTGTCATGAACCAAGAGGTACGAACGTGCTGTGACCCAAGAGGTGCGAACATATCGAAACCGAAATGGTGCGAACGTGACGGGACCGAAATGGTGCGAATGTATCGGGACCGAAAGAGTGCGAACGTATCGGTACCGAAAGGGTGCGAACGTGTCGGGAACGAAAGGGTGCGAACGTGTCGGGACCGAAAGGGTGCGAACGTGTCGGGACCGAAAGGGTGCGAATGTATCGGTTCCGAAAGGTTGCGAGCGTGTCAGGACCGAAAGGTTGCGAACCTGTCAGGACCGAAAGGGTGCGAACGGTAGCCCTGGCTTTCCCACGCTTGCCAAGCCCTGCGAAAGGGTGCGAACGGTTCGGGACCGAAAGGGTGCGAACGGTTCGGGACCGAAAGGGTGCGAACGGTTCAGCACCGAAAGGATGCGAACGGTTCGGCACCGAAAGGGTGCGAACGGTTCGGCACCGAAAGGGTGCGAACGGTTCGGCACCGAAAGGGTGCGAACGGTTCAGCACCGAAAGGGTGCGAACGGTTCGGCACCGAAAGGGTGCGAACGGTTCGGCAGCGAAAGGGTGTGAACGGTCGGCACCGAAAGGGTGCGAACGGTTCGGCACCGAAAGGGTGCGAACGGTTCGGCATCGAAAGGGTGCGAATGGTTCGGCACCGAAAGGGTGCAAATGGTTCGGCACCGAAAGGGTGCGAGTGGTTCGGGATCGAAAAGGTGTGAATGTAACGTCACCGAAAGGGTGCAAATGGAACGTCACCGAAAGGGTGCGAATGTAACATCACTAAAATGGTGAGAATGTAACGTCATCAAAAAGGTGTGAATATAACATCACCGAAAGGGTGCGAACATAATGTTACCAAAAGTGAACGAACATAATATCATTGATATTTATGGATGCAAGTCATTAGAGTTAAGGCCGAGCCATCATGAGTGGTAAACATACTGTTCATGGTCGGGTGCTATGGACTATGATCCATGATATGGATCGATGGCTCAAAAAGAAGTGTATATGAAACAACCTTAAAGTTCTATTGTACCTTGTAATAAGTATAAAAATATATACATTCATATGTATGGTAATGAAAGCACATAGACACTAACATCAATTTTTTTTTTTTTTTTGAAAAATGGATAGGCATGACTCCTGATGGTAAATACTACACACTTATAGAAATGAATATACAATCCAAGGTGTATCGTGTTAAACAAATTATGGAACTACTTTATAGAGTTTGTATGCGAAATTTAAATGCAAACCATTTTTAAAATTAAATATAAAAATAATCAGAGAAGGTTAATTATTTATTTGTTTCCTTTTTTTTTTTTTTTTTTTTTTTTGGTCAAGCCTTAAAAGACACTTTTAAGGGTATATAGCAAATCATAAAATATATTTTTCAAAAATACTCCACATTTTATTTTATTTGGCATTCGCAACCTTTCACATTAATTGAGATTTTATTAAGATACACAACTTTTTATTTTATTTGGTATCACAATCTTTAGAATTAATTGAGATTTTTGTTAAGATACACAGCCTTTCATTTTATTTATTAAGAAACACAACTTTTCCTTCTTTTTTTTAAAGAGGCACAACTTTTCATTTTATTTTGCCTTTACAATATTTCACATTAATAGGCGTTTTTATTAAGAATTACAACTTTTCATGTTATTTGGCATTCACAACCTCTGAAATTAATTGAGATTTTTATTAAGATACACAACTTTAGAATTAATTGGTATTTTTATTAAGATACACAATCTTTCATTTTATTTATTAAGAGACACAACTTTTCATTTTATTTTACTGAGAGACACAACCTTTCATTTTATTTATTACGAGAAATAACTTTTGATTTTATTTTACATTTACAACATTTCACATTAATTGATATTTTTATTAAGAGTCACAACATTTCATCTTGATTGACATTCACAACTTTTAGAATTAATTGGGATTTTTTATTAAGATACACAATTTTTATTTTATTTGACATTCACAACCTTTAGAATTAGTTGAGATTTTTATTAAGTGACAACCTCTCATTTTATTT